TTTCAGATTTTACAACTTCAAAAAGATGTGATAAATGTTCTGGTTAATCAGATTGGAATACAAACTCAATGTCAAAGACTTAAATGCAGCTAAAAATAAAGTTTATAACCATTTACATTTTTAAAAAAGTGTTTCCAAGCTGTCACTCATCAGGCCAAACACAAAGAGTCTTAACTCACTATTTCCCATGCAAGACAAAACAATACAAAACATGTAAAGAAATGTAAATACTCAGTTTGAAATGACAATAAAATACAAATTCAGAAAATGAGCATAAAAATATTGGCAATAGGTGTGAATGACTTACATTGTAACAGTTGTGATCATATAATAATCAAAACAGTAAAAAAAAACAAAGACAAAGAAAAAAAACATTGTCCTGAAAAGATGGAAGTGTATTATTAAGTACACTGATCTAAAACTAATGCCGTTCAACACAACTGTCCTGTGATAAATCTACTTTCATGAAGGTTTTAATGTAACCGTTAGAGAGGTATCTAATATTTAATCTACCTGTCCTTCATTAATATAAGATAAATGAAATATTGTTGCCTTAATTCTGCACCCAATTCTGTCTTGAGGAAAAATGTAATGGGCCCATCAAAGTCCATGCATAAATACAGACCACAGATCCATGTTGTCATCACACTCAGTGGCTTCTATTAACTCTGCTGTACAGGGCAGATACATCCTCCACAGCTGCTTGACGCCTTGTTCTGTGAAGAAATCAATAATTAAAAGAAGAACACTTAACAAGAAACATAAAACCATAAAAAGACACATGCAACAGCAAAAATGTGAGATTAAATTCTCTGACACTTTCAAACTGAATGTGTATTTTATTTAAATTAAACAGCAACAAAGATTGTCCTGTGTGAAGAGCTGCTCACCCTGCGGCACTGTTGAAGATGGGGGTCGCGTAAACAACCTCCTCCTCGTTTCTGAGGGGCTGAGCTGGGCTGAAGTTGGAGTAGAGAGCCTCTGGCTGGTTCCTAACGCACTGTACGCTTGCATACTGAAGTTCATCTGTCTCCTGCCACATAGACAAGAGGACTTTTACATTTTCCATGTACTGCTTACAAGACAAACAGAACTCAAGTGTGACTTAAGGTAGTAAATAAGACTGTTACTGCACTGCAGCATGACAGGACCATGAGTGTGTTCAGCCTAATTTGCTAAACCAAAAACCAAAGTACTGAAGCTTGATACTGAAAATCTGTTTTGTGTTGTAATACCTTCTTCTCACCAGCAGAGGTCAATAGTATTCATATTTTACTTACACTATTATTTACAAGATGACAGTCCTGTCTGTTCATTTTAACAGGGGAACAGTGTGCCAGAAGTATGGCTGGATAAAAGCTGCTTAATTTATTGTGGGAAGGAAAAGTTTTTGAAGTCTTAACAGTCATATTTTGTATATGGTGCCCACATGTACAATTAAACAGGTTTTGAGCCATCAGGTTGGGAAACAGATAAAGGAGAGCGTGGTTAATTTGGGTGAAGAAAGTAGTCAAAGAAGGATGTGATGCACCTATGAGTTTTCAGATGACTGAACAGCATGTTTTAGTTTGTACCTCTGCTCTGTTGTGTGGTCTCTCACCAGCCTCAGGTTGTTGTTGCAAAGACCTCTCTCTTCTGACAGGAGAATAAATAAAAGAAGCAAATGAATAACTAAACACATTTCTTCAAGCAAACATGACTACAATGCTAAAATGCCCATATGTACATTGAGAGTTATTGTTACAGCAAAATCACGATGAATGTAACAAATAAATCCCTCCCTAAAGTAGTTTCAATGTAAGTGATGGAGGACAAAATCTAAAATCCTCATTCTGTGCTAAAACGATGAAGCTAATAAACTTCTCAGTTAGACAAATCAAGTGGGAATCTTCCACAATTAGTTTTTTAATATGGAATCACTTACATTGAAACTGCTTTAAGAGGGGATCTCTTGAGGGTCAGTATTAACAGGAGGAACCATTACAGCTAACTTTAAATGCACATACGAACATGTGACTAGTGCTTTGAGACTGAGTTAAAAAATGTGAATATACATACATTTAATCACAGAGAAAGTGATCTGCTCACCTAATCCACAGGACGACAGAGAGAAGAAGTATGAAGACCAGAACAACAGCACTGACTGATAGAGCAACTGGAAATTTCAATGAACCTGGAAAACAACAATCAAGCCGGAATTCTTAATTCCAATAGTGAATTAGTGATAAATGGACTTTTTTTTTTTACGTAAAAATAATCCTAACTAAAGTTAGCTGAGCTTCTGTAACCCAAGGTGAGCTCAAAGATGTGTGGCTGTAAACTCTGCAGTTAACAGGTGTGTGTAGGTAAATTATAAAACCTTACCTGCAACAACAATCAGATGTAAGGTGGAGTTATGACGTCCTCTTCTGTTCTGGGCTTCACAGTAATAATTCCCACTGTGTTCAGCTCTGAAGTCAGTGATGGTGAAGTTCTGTCCTGATGCTTTTGGTGAGTCTTCATTCTCCTTGTACCAGGTGTATTTAGCTGCTGGGTTAGCATCACTGCTGCAGGTCAGAGTCACTGAACTGCCCTCCACTATCTCAGCAGAGGGACTCACTGACACAGAGGGAAGCTTTGGAGCATCTGGGGACAAAAGAGAGACAACTTATCAATATTTGTTTACAGGCCTGTTTTTAGGCATTTTAGGACTTTTTCCCCCAGGTCACGTGCAGGCACACGCTTCAGTGAACTAAAATCTTACAATGCTTAATATATCCTTGCTTATTGAACTAATGTCTTCAGTCTGTAGATGATGATAAATCACATTTATTACACCAGTTGATGGGTGCCCCATAACACACAACAACTGTTGTTGTCAGGTGGCACCAAGTATTCTAGAAAAAACCTGCCAGAAAGTCAGACCAGCACACAGCAGCAGACCATCATGACCGCTCAAACACAGACCCACACAATGCTGAACCAGAACCAAAGACACTGTCATAATGCAGTCTGCATTATCATCTCTGATTCCTAATTCTTATTATTTTAAGTTTAGTTCAAACTGTCACAAGTTTCAACTTCCTCTTTCTTAGCAAATGTCTCCTTTACTCTTGCTATATTGACTTGAATGAAATGTAATCTACCTCAGTAAAGCAGTAGTCATCATTGTTGGGGAATTGGGAATTTTTAGGTCTCAGTAATATAAGTATGGTCTACATCTGCTCTACATAAAAAATGCAATGAGATGACTTTTCCTATGAATTGGGCGTTCTATAAATAAAACTGAAACTGAATATGTTTGAAATAACAAACTTGGTTTTTAACATTTACTGTACTAGCCAAGATTTGATGAAATAATGAACCCTATATTTGCCTTAAAGGAAATTGACTTTTAATTAATTTTTATCAATGTACTGTATATTTATTGTTATGTTGTAACTATTGTTATTTCATCTTGTTTTTTCTGTGTACTATGGACCTTCCATTTTGATCCTGAATAAAGTAATTATTATTATTATTATTATTATTATTATTATTATATTGATGTCAAAATGTATCTCTACAATAACTAATCCAAAATGATATAGGCAAGTGGTGAAAAGTAGTGTGGACTATCAGCTAGTAACATCAGATGGCTCATTTTAGGTAAAAAAATCTTAATTACGAAACTCAGAAATAGGAACGTTAAGTGTATTAAAGAAGCATCAACCTTCAGTGGCTCCATTAGCGTTTGAAGCCCTGGACTGGAGCAGCTGCCGTTAGGAGTGATGTGGGCAGAATTTTTTTTAATTTTGGCAAGTGCGAATTCATTTCAACTTACATGGCTTTACTTAGAGGGGAGCTGTGTGCAATGTCCATTTGGTTGGCAAAGCACTAGTGACATCACATCTTTCAACACAGTGTCAGGCATGTTGAGAAACAGGTGATTGACCTCCTGTGGTTTTCTACACACAACTGGTAAGATATTAAACTTACGTTTTTCAAGCCTTACTGTGAAATGATTTGAAGAGCAGTATAGTGGCCACCTTCAGGATGAATCCTAAATCAAATCAGTCAAGCAATAATCCAAAGAATAAAATATAATCATAATAAAATAAAAATATGTCCTCTAAAGAATCACATTGTGTCGAGGAGATTATTATAGGGAGTTTTCCATTATTATGTTTCTATACAATTTCAGAAAGTCCCTTTGTTACACACAGACCTGAAATCTAAATTCAGTTTAAAAGAGGATGAGAAGTACTGATGATTGGATGTAACTGAGGCCTGCTCCAACTCCACCTGCTGAAAAAAAAATTTTCTCCCGCAAAGATATATTTAATAAGCTGTTTGTAATTTTTGAAGAAACTGTTCCACTCACATTTCACATTAATGATGTATTTAGTTGTCTTCCTCCCCAGCTGGTTCTCAGCTGCACAGTAATACTCTCCAGAGTCAGAGGACTGGATGGAGCTGAAGACAAGCTGTGGTTCTTCACTGAGCAGAGTTTGGTTCTCCTTGTACCAGGTGTATTTAGCTGCTGGGTTAGCATCACTGCTGCAGGTCAGAGTCACTGAACTGCCCTCCACTATCTCAGCAGAGGGACTCACTGACACAGAGGGAAGCTTTGAGCATCTGGAGAAGGTATAAACTGAATTACTGAAATGCTAGACTATGTTATAGACGATTGACTATTTTCATAAATTTCTCTGTTTGTGTCTTTTTGATTCTCTAGTATTTGACAAAGTGGATGTCCATGGTGCTGATTCTGGATCTGTCCCAGGTCTGAATCCTGTTTGTTGAAACTGACAGCCAATAACAAGCCTTTAATCATTTGGTATTTTCAAAAACACAATTTGTCAGTGGTCGCAGCAGCACTATGTGTTTCAGATTTACCACTACTAAAGACCGTCTGTCTGTCGAGTCTGTCGGCAACAAATCTTCAGAGACTGGTAACTCCATTTTAAAGCTTTACCATGAAAAATTTAAAGTTACAGACTAACAATATGCATCCTGTCTTAATGAAAAATGTTATACGTCTAATATTCCTGAATCACTGAAATTTGACATAAGAGTTATGAGTTAATCACAACATGAGGCACGTGCACACATAACATTAAAAGGGGCTTGAGCAGCTGCCAGAAAGTTTCCTGACTTAAGCAGTAACTTCATCATTTTGATCGTAGACTCCTCATCTAATAACTATCCATTCTATTAGTTTGTTGTATGCTGATAGATCTTTACATGATACAGACAGCCCTCCCTCAAATGTGAAACTAAGTCTATGACACCATCAGTTAGTGTGTGTGTGTGTGTGTGTGTGTGTGTGTGTGTGTGTGTGTGTGTGTGTGTGTGTGTGTGTGTGTGAATACTAAAGAAGACCATGGCCTCTGTTTGAACTGATTATTTTCTAGAAACAATTGCATGAGTGTGAGGAATTTAAAAAACTTGGTAAGAAAGTCAGAGTTGTGTTAATATATTTAATGTTTGGTTTAAAAAATATTTAATAAATAATTATGAGAAGTTCCCTTTTTTAACTTGAGGCCCCGCCCACCAAAATGTCTGTGCATGTCCCTGACAACATGTATCTGAATACTGATTTCTACTGGTGGTATTTTTTTAATTTCTATAAATAATGCTGCTGTGTTTATATTAAGATCTAGAAGACTACAGTACTGTGAAAATTTTAATTTGTATTGTAACGCCGCTGAAACAGTCCATTAAACTCACACACTGAAGAGAGGGGAAATCCTCATGTCCTTTTACAGCACAGGAGATGATGTCTCTGGGATAAAACTGGTCTTTATAAGAAGATGTCTCCACGCTTTCCATTTTCTGTCCATTCTTGAACCAGACGTAGGAAGGACGATCAGGTGGACGACAGCTGCTGTGACAAAGCAGCTCCGCCTCAGTATAATTCTTGTAGACTGTTGATCTGATCACCTGAACCTGGAGATCTGGATCTGTGAAGAAGAAACAGAAATATTTGTTCTTTATGTGGATCTGAATCACACTCAGACAGACACAGAGATATAAACAATAGAACATTATGACAATCATGTAATCAATTAATCACACATCCAATTATTTCTCATCAGGATCACTATTCAGCACATTCACTTGTCATCAGATAGTTTAAATGTGCTGTTACAGTTTGTGTTCATCAGTACCTGTGACAGTCAGAGTTGTACCAGGTAAACTACTCCTCCATTCAAAGCTCCATGTGTTGAATTTGAAGTGATACTCAGCTGAGTCGCTCTCTCTCAGGTCAGTGATTCTCAGAGTGGAGCGTCCTCTCTCTGTTTCAAGGACCTGAACACGACCTGCATGCTGGGAGTCTTCACTAAGGTCCTCAGGCTGTGAGGGATTCTGCCACTGAAGACTACGTTCAGGACTGAACCAGAATCTAGATCTGATATATGTGGAATAACTGTTGTAAGTACAAGAAATGTCCACTGATGAGCCTTTGAAGGCACAGATGCTTCTGTCAGTGTAAGTCACTCTGTTGCATGAATGACCATGGCCACCTGAAAATTAAATATTTTGATGATTATTAAAATATAGTCTTTACTGCAGTAATTCACAGCTGGTTGTATTGCTGTGGATGAGTTTGCTTATTTTAAAAGATACATGAAGTCATGATAAAGAACATCAGCTAAAATGTTCAAAACAGCGTCACATTATTAGAAGATTGTGGAGTGAACTCACACACTGATGGAGAAGGAAAATGTCCTTTAAGGGCACAGGAATAGCTGTCTGCAGGATAAAAGTAGTCTGAATAAGAAGATGCTTCTTCCTTAATTTTCTGCCCATTCTTGTACCAGATGTAGGAGGTTTGATCACGTAGACGACAGCTGCTGAGACACTTAAGCTGTGACCATGTACACGTGTAAGTCTTGCATGACTCTAAACTGCTCACCTGCACCTGGAAACCTGTATCTGTAAAGAAACAACAATATAATTTTAGATTGAGCTTTCATTTTACACACATGATAAAAGGCATACAGAATTCACTGTAGTGTTTCCCAAACGAGCATTTGGAGCTAACTTACATGGTCTCCAACAAAAATGTTACCTCTGACAGACAAAGTGACTCCAGGTGAACCAGTAAATCTTCCATCTGGGGTGGTTTGTTATGAACCTGAACTTGTACTCAGCTGAGTCGCTCTCTCTCAGGTCTGTGATTCTCAGAGTGCAGATGTTGTTAGAACAACTGTACTGCAGACGACCTGCGTATCTTGAGTCTGTTCTCAGATTCACAGGTTTTTTTATCTTGCAGTTGAGTAAACCAGAATGTTTCCTCAACTTTAGTATCACGGCCATTTATTCTGGATGGGTATGTGAGGGTGCAGCTTATTTCCACTGTTGATCCTTTTAAGGCACAGATCTGAGTAGAGGTGTAAGTCACTCCCCAGCCATTCTGACCCTGTATCACTGTAACACAGAGCACATCAGAAACTACAATCAGACTCAAACATCAGGAGACAGACTTGAATGTTTGGAGATTGTTTCAGAAAAGTAACCATGACCAGCTTTAAAAAGCCCAGAATCTTATTTATTGCAGTCACTGTTACAAAGAGTTCTTCATGATACACCTTTAAAAGCTTGAGATCATTTTGAGTTAAATAGATGTTTTTCACAGCAGACATTTTGGCTGCTCATATCAGGAAAAACACAGGGGGTAATTGATATTACACCTGTACAGAAGAGGAGTAGGACCACATGTGAAAAATGGGAGGGCCTTTCTCAGTCTGCATTCATGTCTCGTGTTCTTGTGTTCTTGTGCAATGTCATCTTTTGTAGCCTAAGTTCTGTCCCAATGCACAAGTTCGCCTTTCGCCAAGAACGGTTCAAATTCCTCTTGGGTGACACACCCATTTTACCAAGAATGCATCGGTTGCGAGCCAGCCGGCCAGTCTGCTCCTGACCTTCAAGGCCATTCATAACCTCGCTCCTCGGTACGTCACTGACCTCCTGCTCGTTTGACTACCATGGGTTTCAGAGCCTTCAGACGCTCTGCCCCTCGTCTCTGGAACTCTCTTCCACCAGACATCCGCAACATTGACTCACTTTCCATTTTTAAATCCCGCCTGAAAACACATCTTTTTAAACTGGCATATCCCAGGTGATCACTCTTTCTCAATCTTTGTTTCCAGTTGTTTTGTACCCTGATTTTATGCACTGTAATTTTAGTTGTTAATTTTATCGATTATTGCTGCATTGTTTTATTATGTTTTGTGAGGTGACCTTGAGTATTCAGAAATGCGCCTATAAATAAAATGTTATTATTATTATTGTTATTATTATTATTATTACAAGTATTAATTACATTGTTAGCAAACATCTGTGGTTACCATACTTGATTTTTATTTGCTTTTACTTTATTATATTAATTATTGTTTATGCACTAATATACCAAAAGAAATTCCTTGTAAGTTAAAACCTACTGGGCAATAAACCCGGTTCTGAGCTTATTGTTTTGGTTGATAAAGCCTGGCTGTTATCTTGGAGCTCTGCAGGCGGCCTCTGTGTGACGCAATAGCAGCAAGAACAGATTGTCTCAGATTGTCAGCAGCATTCTGTGTGCCTCTGACATTGCAAGTTCATTCATCACTGCTGACAGACAAACAGACAAATGGCACAGAAAACATAACCTCCTTGGCAGAGGTAAGGACTACATTCCAATTAGGTGAGCTGGATCCAGGATCCTGACATTGTGCATCGTGGCCACTGGGCAGAGATTCTTAACTTTGGAAATGAGCCTCCATTACAGGAATATGTTTTGTTGTGAGAAAAGTGTGAAGAAGTAAAAAAGTACAAACATTGTGAGTAAGAAAGATGTTTTGTTTGAAATACTGTGTTATATTTTAGTGTCTCTGCAGTCTCTTGTGCCCTGACCTTTGCTCAGCCTCCAGAGACCTATGGTTGTACACTGGCCTGCCCACAGAAATGACTGGGCCCCTGAAAAGCTCCAGTAAATGGGCCCTCTGCAAATCTGCTTTACTCATGTCAAGGCATGCTGTGCTCTCTCTCTGTCTCCTACATAAACACATATACATGCTTGTATTTAGTGTGAACATCATTAGTGCTGGACTGCATGGGCCCCAGAATGCCCCAGATGCCCCAGAGGCCGACGGTCTGCAGGTCTATAGCGCCTTTCGACTCGCCTTTGTTTGGTTTTCCATTATGAAAAAGTTGTACCTGTTTCTGCTACCAGGTACTTTTTTTCGTATCACCTCCGTCGAGGTTCCAAGCAGCTGAGGCGATACTAAAATGTGTTGTGAAAACACAGTAGTCGCTCAACCTTCTGCCAACTTTTTCATTTTTAGTAAAAAAGTATAGGCTAAGGAAGGCGGCCCGCCGGCCCAGAGGTTGGCCGGCCTACTGGCATTTGTCACGTGTGGATATACAACACAACCCTACAGTGATATTACATGATATGATTCTCTTATATTCTTACTTATTACTTATGATTGCTCATCATGCACGTGCAGAGGGGGTGCTATGGGTGCTTGAGCACCTGCCCTTTGATGCCCAAAGTTCCCTTTTGTCAATGACAAATTTAATAAATTTTTAAATTAGTAAAGGTCCTTTTGTGGAGGCCTGCCGAATAAAACTATTAGTAAAAATAATTTCGCAGTAAATAAAATGACCCACATTATGACCTTTCACCTGATGACCTCATCCGTGACGAGCCCTCCAGTTCAGGCACCGTTAGTGATTCAGCAGCTCTGCCTGCAGGACACCTGCGATCCTGCAGGTAAGAGGGGTTTGCCGCAACGTGCTTGTTGTGGGTTGTTGGATGTATTTTGCAAGAAAGACGCAAAGAGAGCAGCACAGTAGTTGTATATTGCTGTGTGTGGCCTGTAGAAGTAACTTTAGCTGCCGACTAACACTGTGCCGACAGCTAACTTTACTTCTACACACAGATAAACAAAGTTGCTCTGTTCACTTCGTTCTTGCTGTTTGAGGGAGAAAAATTTCACGGGCGTCGTGAGGTCTGGTATTTTTTTTTATATAATTTGACTAAAAACCTTTCACTTCAACTAGGATTATTACAGTAACTTAATTAAAAACGTAGTGTGCTTTAAAATAATTATAACAACTTTGGTAAAACTGTTTTATTACTTATTCCACCGAATTATAGCCTTTATCTGCCCGTTTTAAAACGATCGTTTCAATAAGAACAGTATTTGAATAGATAGCAAACCTATGATATGAAAATAACTCAAATACATGTAATAATATCAGTGTCAATATAAAATAAATAATATTCCTGACATCAAAGTAAAGAGTGAAGAAGAAATGGCCCTATTAGATTTCAGAAAAAGGTATGAAATGTTAATGTGAAAGGTAAATGCTGCTCTGTCATGGTTATTATGGGCCAACATAATGAACACACACACATATTTTTAGATTAATGATTAGACATATTGTCAATCAAAATCCAATATATATCTCAGATTCACAATGCGATATATAAAATCATTATCACAATATTGCCCACACACACACACACACACACACTCTCACACACACACACACACACACACACACACACACACACACACACACCTGTCTATAGATTTGTCTCACTCTTACCCCTGCCTTGGCTAACCTAGTCCTTTCTCCCAGTACTGTTTCCTTCCCAGATTATTTCCCACACTTTTTTGAACCTGGAATCTTATTTCCTCTCCCTGCAGCTCTCGGTGTGCAGCAGTCTCTGAGAGCGCCTCCCTCTTATTTTCTCATAGCAGTCAGCCTTGGCAGCGGCTGCAGCTACAGCAGGTCAGTCATACTGAGCCGGTCCCAAATACTGTCAGCAATCTTTTCATGGTCACATATTTGTTTTATCAGCTTATATATCTCCTATCTTTGTTATAATGTCTCTAGTCACAGATCACCTCCAGTAGTATCAGCAGCAACCAAAGCAGCAGCAGCAACATCCCCAGCAACCCCTCAACAGCAACTGTTCCCTGTAAGTTATGTCAGCCCACCGTGTTTTAAAGCTAGATCTGGGTATTCCCTGTGTTTCTTTTTCAAAACTGTGTCACAGCATTTGTTGATGGATCGATACAGAAGCATCTGTATACACATATCAGCAAGGAATACATAACAACATATTTCTGTATCAATATTTTGAGAACGGCCCTATTTAAATCCTTGTTCCATGTGCCCCTTTTATACTTTGAGCACCTGCCCTTCCAAAGGTCTCTGCACGGCCCTGTTGCTCATATGATACTCAATATTGTGTGACATGCTTATCTTAGGTAACTCAGCAGTTAAGACAGCCCTCACATGACAGCCCTTAAGGCACACTAGAAATATTCTACACCTATTGACAACTTCCATATAAGGTAACATGGGATGTGCAGCTGGGTGATGTCTCATCAACACATACACAGCTTAGCGGAAGAGCAGTCAGACCCTTACTTAGGTAGCGCGCAGGAAGGGTCTCCAGATATATCTGTATTAATAAAGGTGTGATTTAAATCTGATCTCTCGTCTCCTCTAAGTCCTTTTACATCAAACAACTCGGGGAAGTCGTTGTACTTCAACACAAGGTACTCCAGATGGCCAGACCGCTACTGCTGGTAATGGGAAAGCGGCTTATGGGACTGTGGCTGCCCTGTGACAGATTATTCTTTTATATTCTCTTTGACTAAAGTCTGGATGTCATATTTGGCGAACACACCCTCGCGAGAGAGGTGAGAGAGTGAGACAGTTGTGTGGACTCTCCTGCTATTAAAAAAACTTGCTTTGTCATCGCTGCCGCTGGTTAAGTTGATAATTACCGTCAGACCAACACAGCACTCAGGCCACCACGGCCGTCTGCTACTTTAATCTCCACAACGTCTTCTTGTTTACAGTGTGGTCGGTCAGTAGCGCACAAGACAATAGGCTTCACTAATGGACCAATGAGCAAACACTATGTGCAGGTAGTACTCATGGGAGTTTTAGTGCGTTTGTGTGTACAATTTTTTCAACACGCCAAAGTGGCTAGTGGGAATGACTGTGTTTAACCGCCACGGAGAAATCCACCCTCACTTGGCAGGTTGGCGGGTGTTAATGTCAAGCCCCAAAAGGTTTATAAGGTCTGGATATACAGAGTGGCCCTCAGAACATAGTACTAAGAGTGAGTAAGTGAGATATTAGTATAGCAGATCAAAATGTATTTCCTGTATTCAGCACCTTTAACACCAGTGATTACAAATTATTTATAGTAAATTTCCCAACAATACACATAATTTACACAGAAGTTATGACAAGGAACGTGATAATAGGGAGACCAAATTACAGATCAGTGAAGTAACTTGGAGTCGTTCCAAACCGTTTTTGTCAGAAACTCCAGGTCAGATGAACTTATACACTCACTCCTCCTCATCAACATTAGATTATCCAGTACCTTTAGTCAAATATTTCAGCTGTTTATCCATGATGTTTGTCAACTACTTGTTGCTAATTATTTCAACTTTTTATAAAAGTGGCAGTTAAATGTATTGCTGTGTTTATGAGGTAAACTGTATCAGATAATATTTTAAGCATTTGACTGGTGATGGCTTTCAAAAGTCGACACAATTCACATTGTTCATAATCAACATTTTGTGAACTTGAGTTTATAAAGTTTACATTGTTAAACATATAGAGATGCTGCTGGTGTAAAAAACAGACGCAGCTCTCTGTTGGAAAGAAAAAGAAGTAAATGTCTGGTGTTGCAGAGATCACACCACGTTTCATAACACCACACATCAAATGTGCCAAATGCTTCACAGTATAAATGGAGATGTACAGTACCTTGTACTGAGAGAAGAAGCACAACAAATCCACTCGCTGCTGTTAAACTCATAGCTGCTCCTTACGTCTGTTAAGTCACATCAGCAGGTAGATCAGATACATGAGAAATCCTGTATGTCAGTAAGTCACTGTAAACATTCCTAATGAAAAGGGGAGGATGTTTAACAGACACTGACGTGTTAAAAGCTGCTTTAAATTATGCACATTATGCTTCCTTCCTCTTTACATTATGCACATTATGCTTCCTTCCTCTTTACA